GTGGGAGAACTTGCACAATTGGTGGCTGACTAAATACTTTTTTGCCCCACTGTACATGTTTATTTTATGTCAACAGGTGATATTCCAGTAAAAGTAAACATTTAAAGGAATATTTTACTAACACAGAGAAATTAGCTTCAAAATGAGGACCACTTTTCAAGTTTAAGACTCCCTTCACTGCTCTTATAATCTTGACTCCACACATATTTTAGGGCTAGCCCCCACTTTCTTTGGGTAATGTATACCTCAAAGAGCATGCAAGTTTTGTTTTTTTGTATGTGTGCTGGAAAAACAGGCACCAATGTATATGTCAGTATAGGCCCAGAGTTCTAGATCTACATTTTTTCCAAAATACTCACTGAATCACCATCTTCTTTTTTTGAATCCCGTTTCACAGGTTCATTCATATCTTCCTGACTGCGGAAGCTAAAGTTTTGAATTGCTTCGGTCACTCCACGGAGAGAACTATATATATCTTCTGAATTCATATTTTCAGAATCGTAATCAAATGCACTGTTGAACAGCAATAAAAATATTGTGAAGCAGTTTTAATTTCAGCAATTGATGGTCCTCTAATGGATATTTCTATGTGTTAATTCCCACATATAACTCAATGAGAATTTAGGTTTTATTACAGCAGTTAATTAGACTAGAAAGAAGCAGCTTTCCAGAATCTGCTGTCTCATTTTTAAAATGCATGATGGCAGAGGGAATGTAGGATTATTTATCTACAGAGCATGCCCTCTAACACTGAGTTATTCCCTCTTCAAACTGTGGCAAAGCATTGCCAGATTAGAAATTTAGACAAGGGGGAGCTATTGTAACAGATTTTAAGACGGGATTAATATTTAAGGACTGAAAAATGATCACAAACAGCAAGCATGGAAGAAAAGATTCTGCTGATCATGGCAGGGATTTACAGAGGGCAACTTGAGCTAAATAATGAGGCAAATTAATATTTGTTTCTTTTCTTTTAGTAAGATATTTGCAAGCATACGCATGAAAGAAAGAAAAAAAAGGAAAGGAACAAAGAAAGAAATAGGAAAGAGATTCACAAGGTATATAAAATTTAATATGACATTTCAAAGTAAATGAATATTTATATGACAAGCAGCAATAGGAGTTTTGTGGGGTTGATGTTTAAATATTTTGCTACTATATTTTTCTAAAATTTGAATTTAAATTATTTTTGAAGTTACTTCAGACCTTTATTTGTTGCAAACTTAATGTTATTTAAATAAGTTACAAAGATGAATTAGATCCAGAACTCTGTAAAATGGCTGATTCTGCGGGGAAAAGCAATTTCTGCCATTTTTTCCTTCCCCATGTAGCCCAGTATGCATACAAATTCTCTGTTAGTGAAAACTCTTCTGTTTGTAGACAGTCAATGCTGGTTCTAAATTAATATTTGGTATCTTACCTTGGTGACAGTGTGTTTTGGGATGTATTGGTTGGTGAAGTGATGGGGCTAGACCAACTAGCTGGTGAGCGTGGAACAGGCCTTGTTAAAGGGCTTCCCATGGAGCCCTGTAATTAAAAAAAAAAAAAAAAATTTTCCTTGAGCATGCGTAACATAATACTTCAGTCTTTATTTTAGAAAAGTACATAAAGCTGTCTTCAAACAGATTTTTATATCACTATAAGGATAAATATGACAATAATGCTAAAAAAAGTTCCAATTCGAAAACTAACATACAAAGTAATGACAGTAAAAAAAAAGGGTTATCAAGTGCATATACGTATGTTAATGTTAATTCATCATGCTTTAATGCAAATGATGCCTCAATATTTATCCTAATGGAGATGATTATAAATATACCTGTCCACCATTGCCTGTACTCCGGAGGTGACTGTGAAGCAACTTTGTGGCACCATCTTGAAATGTTTTTGGTAAAGCACCCAACAGCATGGTAAACTCAGGGGTATTGAGTTCAAAAAGAGAAATCAGCACTGATTGTGCAGCCTAGGAAAAATGATAATATCATTAAAATAAATAAGCCAGGTTTAAGGGAGAATTGTTGATAATTTAAAATACATGCGCATACAATTAAGCTCTTTTTTTTCTTCTTTGGGTTTCCTTCTAAAACACATCTCTTACAAAATTATTATGAAGGAATTATTAATCTTGGAGGGCAGCCAAATAAATCTTTCTATAAAATGTTACATAAATTTACTCTACTTTGAATATGAAATTGCGATCATTTTAAAATCAGTAATTACATTTATTTTCAGCTACAATTTTAAAGGACGCCTACAGCATCTGGTCAAAACAAAACAAAACAACCCCCCCCCCAAAAAAAGGACTGGGTTTGCACTGTATGCTGGGTGACACTAAAAAGGAGTTGAGTAATTTGTTCTTCAGTTTTTCAGGAAATCAGATATTGCATCAGCAAGTTGTATGAACAAGGTCATGTTGCTATGACATTGGGAGGTGGTGGTGTGCAGAACATGTTATATGTGTTTTGCTAGCCTGGATTAGCAAACTGTATGATCCCAACCATGGTGTATATGAGTTTAATCTGTATTAGGCTCATTAGGTTCTAAGGTCAAAACTTTTCTGGTTCAACAGACCCTGGTTGTCATTTAAATGCATACTTTATCTCTTACCACATGGGACTTGGGAAGCAAAAGCATACAGATGTGCAGTGGCCCCTGGACACATTTTAGCTACAACCCCCCCCTTTTTTTTTTTTTGCAGGGGGGATGCCTTCAAGTCAGTGTTGACTCCTGGAGTTTTCGTGGCAAGATTTCAGAAGTGGTTTGCCATTGCCTGCTTCCTAGGGCTGAGAGAGAGTAACTGGCCCAAGTTCACCCAGCTGGCTTTATGCCTAAGGCAGGACTAGAACTCATTGTCTCCCGGTTCCTAGCCTGGTGCCTGGAAAAGGGATATTCACTGTGTGGATGTAGACACAGATTAAGCCAAACTGTATTATAAGGATTGGAAGAATTCTTGAACAGATTAGACACAATGCTACAAAGTGGTAATCCTGGATTCAGCAGCCCTTGTAATATTGCAAGTCCCAGAAGGCCTCTGTTTTACCTATTTAGCTAGTTTCTGGGATGTGGCCTGATGAATCAATAACAAAGGTTAACAGTGACAACAAAATGTCCCAACAACTAGAATTAAATGCGTCTCTGCATTCCCCTTCTGTTTTAGCAAGTAACCAAAATCTCCACTGGACTTTGGCAGAGATGTATATTTGAAGAAGAGAGTCAGTGTGCATGCCTTGCCTCTGAAACTTATTCAGTGACTGGGTCTTCCAATCTAGCCAATGACACATATATGCTACCCAGATCCTGATTTCCGACGTGTGGCTGTAGAGTAGATTTTTCTCTACGATATGTTCCACCCACTTACTTTTGAAAGCCACATAATAATATGAAGAGTTATGTGGACAGGACTTCCAAATGAGGCATCATCATATGTTATATTTCATACAATGACAGTGAATACATATATTTTAACATGCAGTATGTTATTATATGAGTGTGATTTTTTTTCTTGCAAATACTCTAAGTAGGTAGGTAGCTGGCAGTTATATCAGCAAATATATTTCCAAATCAGTTTAAATAGAAATTTGCATGATTTAAATTCATCTGTTTATATCACATTAGCTCAAAATTCTGTTCAGCTACTGTCCTTCCCAAAAAGCTGACAAGAAAACAACAAAAACAGGAAGAAACATTTTTGCAAAATTATTACAAATAATCAATATCATGATATTGAAATTAAAATATTAACATAGAATTCTATGTAATCAAAAAATAAATGGAAATTCTTAAAAAATAACTTTAGTCATTTTAACATAATTTGAAATACCTTCCTAACATCTGAACTTTTAGGTTCTGTTGTCCAAGTGATAATTCGAGATACAGCCAGACGCGTTTCACTTGAATTTACAAAATCTCCTGGGTCCATCTGTTGTGCAAGGGTCTCTATGTATTTAAGGATTGCAACTTTCACCTATAAGAATAAAAAGAATTAAATATACAGAAAAGTACAATACCTAATGGTGAACATATGAGAATGGAATTATTTTACTTGGGAACCACCTAGCAATGCTACTTGATGCTGACAGTGGCTATTCAGAAATTATATTCTTAGAGCAGCATATCAGCAGATTGGATCAAAAGACTGGCATATCAGTGGATTGGATAAAAAGATCTTGAGCAAGAATCCATATTGTAGTATCAGTAACACCTATATAATATCTGTATAATTCAAAAGGATATCTTTGGATTCCAAATGTAAAATAAATAATTAAAACAACTGTAAAGGTTATCCTGGAGAAAAGGGGAAAAATTACAGAAAATATTTATGTATACTTAAAGGTTTTTCCTAAATGGCGCTCTTTGATGCTAATTAATAAACCACTTTTAAATCTGAATTTCCAATATAATTTAAGATGTTCAACTGAGAAGAGCCTGCAGGATCCTACAGGATATCAAAAATGGAGTAGTGCCAATAACAGATAGCACCATAAAATATACAAGTCTGTAATTATTTAAGAAAAGGCTGATTGGGTTTTTGCATAATTTTAGCAACAGCTTTTACCCTGCTGGGCAAATCTACCTGGAAGAAACAGAGAGTGGAGTTCTTCAATAAGCTTTTAATAAAATTGAATTAAGTGCTTGTAAAAAATAGAAGACCATTTCACTTGTACATCAGCTTACTAGACAGAAAAGATTTAATTCACTGTATATCCACTGCTTCAAATACTCTGCTAGAATTTTCCAATAATCCCTTTTCCTTTGTAAACATTTCATATATGTTTAGATTTCTGAGAGACATAGGTGGGGAGCCCACTCATGACAACACCAAGGCTCAAATATAATTAGCTTTTCCATATGAAGAGTACAAATTATTCCTATCAATATCTTACATGACTGCTCTAACAATTTTGTCTACTTCCATAAAAAAATCTCTCAAATATAATCTTACAAATAAGGCATCATTAACTCAGTGGAATTCACACAAGACAAAATAATTTATGATAGCAACTTTTGGGTGGTTGGGAGCCATCCAGTACTGGGAAGTTGTGCCTGCCAGCAGCTGGGTGAAAATACCAAGCTCATGGACAAATATATATCTGAACACAGTGTGCTGAGTACAAACAATGTGAGAAGACAACTGCCCTTAAGCCCTGTATATAAGTTTTCTACAGGCTTCTAGCTGGTTATAGTTAGAAACAGAATGGTGGACTGGATGACCAATTCAATTCTGCATGCTGTTTTTTAAAGAATAGATATTTTATAAATAAATATGTATGTATAAATATATCTATGAACAATAATATTGCTAAATGTAATCATGAACACAGAACACCCAGAGTTTATTTTCTACCTTATAGCTTCAAAAATATGCGGCTCTAGCACACATAATCTAATGCCAAAAAACAGTGTATACCCTATGTGGTTTCTCCAGTTACAATGACCACCAGGAAGCAGGCCTTATGTGACCGGCTTCATCCTATTTGGGTCTCATCACATGTAGGTAGCCACGTGACATAATGTAACATCCATATCTCTCTGCTCAGAGAGCTTAAGGGAAGGTGGATTGTATATTTATTTACTTATTTGTTTCTCTGCTTATTCATACAATTTAGAGACTGTCTGATTCCTAATAACTCAGACCACTACAACAAAAGAAAAGGAAATATTCTGACAGCTGCCAAAAACAAACAAAAAAAAGGTGCCATATAAAAACACTATATGCTGTTAAGCAGTGCTAACCCCAAAGAAAATTAACATGTCTGCCAAGAATGGCATCAGCACTGTGTATAACATACACACACCAGTTCATTAATAAAAGGTCCCTTGAAGGGACAACAATTTTGGTCTTCATCTAGTTTCATATGTTGAATAGACTCCTAATAGTTACATACTAGCTATCTGCACTATTTCTGTCACTCTCTCCATGTTGCAGTCCGTGGGGCTTAGTTCTAATATGAGCACTATGAAGAATTAGAAGGCACTTTATTACTGTTTTCTTACTTCAGGAATATAATATAAATTCTGTTTATTCAGAAATAAGACAGTTGCGGTATTTTTCTGCGTTCCTTTTAGTAAATATTAATCAGGAATATTCTTTCAGGTCAATTTTATAGTTCTGATGTTTCAGATGTTCAGAGGTTTGTGTGGAAATGCACACACATAATTTTATCACATCTACAGTTAGCAACATAAAATTTCACTGATTCACAGACACAACTTGAAGTTAAAGGGATTTTTCAATCAGGACAAATCCAAGCCACATGGATCTCCCAATATGTCTCCCCCCATATTAAAATCTTTATTCCATTATGCTTAAATCTACAGCAAAATCTAAAGATTCCCAGTAACAAAACAGCTATAATGAATTTCTCTATAGCATTTATAATAAATGTTGCATTTTAACAAATATAATATTTTTGTATGTAACTTTGATACCATTGTGTCCAGGACTAAAGAAGTGCCATCTTGTGAAAAGCAATTAACAGACTAAATACATTTACTGTGTGCAGGACAGAGGAAAAATGTTGGTTGTATTTGCTATTTTCCCAAAATGTCGCAGTTTAAACTTTTTACAGTTGCTGTATATAAATCCAACTCTGAAGTTTTTCCAACTGGACATCTGCAGGAGAATAATTTTGCTGCTTATATATTTCAAATATTACATATTTTCAGCCTCCACCTCAGTGTCTGAATATGCATCATTATATCACACAATCTTCCCAATAAAAGCTTAAATGCAAATGACTCAAATTTTGAAGGTGCAAAAACACTTTACAACTGCAGAAAGCTCAGCAATAAATTCCACTGCGATACTATTAGATCTTTAAAATGAGGATTGGGAAATTACAAACATAAAATTAGAAGAGACTTGACAGAGTGAGTATGCATAACCAGCTTGGTGTTAGACAGCCATACAATTCTTTAAAACTGTGTTGGACTTACTGATATTTCATAAGATGCATTGTCAAATGTTTCAGACAACAGCATAACACCTGGTGTCAAGTGTACAAAAGCATGCTCAAAATTCCTTGCAAAGGTTAGTAGCTGTATGTGGATGCATAGAAATATTTTAATGTAAAATTTACATACAATAGGTTAAAAAAGCAATAATGCAGAAAAAAACCTTGGAGCTCCAAAAAGAGCGAAGCTGGTCCTGCAGTGCTGGCTTGACTGTCTGAAATTTTATAAAAAAACAAAACCCACCAATTGAAAACCAACAACACAGAATGTACCACACAAAACAAAAATATTATTGAACGGAATGTTTGTTGTCACACATAATTGTAAAGCTTTATAAGTTTTTACCTTTAGACTTGGTGTTTGGGTCTGGTCAACAGTAAACCGCATTAAAATACTGAACTGAAGATCATTTGGAAATGATTCCCTGGAAAAATGATTAATGCTGTATTAAGAGTTGAAGTTTGCTTCATAACAGTTAAGTGAATTTGGAAACCAGACCCCCCCCAAAAAGGAAATACATGTATTTTGGTTAATATACTTGCTTTAATAGATAAGTAGTATTAGTGGGAGATAATGTAAAAAATATGGGTTTGTAAATACTGAAAATCTTAAAACTGGACAAAGTATTTTGGGTTCATCCCTTTTTAAGAGGTATACTATTATATATGGACATCTCCAGAATTAGACAATATTGGTGAAAACACACACATTAGTTTTTCTACACTCTAATATGCTGACATATATAGCTATAATTATTTGATTCTATTCTAAAGAACACAAAACTGAAATACAGAAATATTGATGTAGAAAGTTTAAAATCTGTCTACTTTTATTGTGACATAAATCTATTACCTTGTCACATCTAATGCCTTCTGAACTTTTGCTTGCACAGATCCCAACAAGTCAGCACCCATTTTTTTCAGAAGTTGTGTCAGCAACACAAACAGCCAATCCTGTAAATCTTCTTTATGGACTTGGATGAAATCTACTAATGTTTCCAAAAACATGCTGAACACCTGCAGTAAGGAAAAAAAAAGGGGAGGACAAAAGGAAAAAAAGAGTAGGGAAGAAAAGGAGTTGATGCTTGCCTGTGTTGAACTCACAAAATAATGTAGTACCACATAGAAGCGGATAGAGGCAATGATACACAGCCAAGCGGGAAAACATTCTCTGCTGTCTCTTGTCAGAATCTGTGATTCAGAAATATTTATGCATTTCTGGAAATTAGTACTTCATGCAATATCACTGAGCAAAGAAATGCTGTGATGACTGGCGCAATTCTCTTCCTCCCTCCCCACTGCTTTGGTATTGTCTATTTCACTGAATTTGGAGAAATGATCTAACCCAGTATGCTTCAAATTGTGCCCCTGTTTTAGCACACTAGATTCTTTTCATTATGTTTTGTTTGAAAAATTCTAAATCTTCCCAGCTTCAGTGGTATATCATCTACTTTCATAGGTCTTTATATTTTCTCATACTGCTCAACCATAATCTTCATCTCTTTTTCATATAAACATGCTACTTTTTTCTGCTATTCATCACTATGTAGCATTAATTCAAAAAAGATGCTTAGTATATTCTGAGCAACAATGTAAGATCTTGCCTTCCCATTTGAAAAACAGTTTTAGACAGGTAATCTGTTCAGTCTTGCATGCATAGATAACATGCTGGATATAGATGAAAAAAAGGTAAGATGCCACAAATCTTTAGAGAAACACAGACTTGTGACTATCTTCAATACAATGCACTGAAAGACATGAAGCAGGGAAGAATGAAATGCACTCTTATAAAGGAGCTCTGTGTACCTTACAATTTAACTTCAGCATTGTTATAAAAATGTCAATAAAGTGCCTTATGGAAATAGAACAATCTGTAATTGAACAGAATAAGGAAAGAGTGTGATGAAATTTAAAACTGGAAACTTGGATCTTCAGTAGTTTTTGGAAGGTATCACTACTACTATACATAATATAGATGTATAGAATCATAAAGATGATCCAAAAATAATATACCTGAATCTAAAAACAAGTAGATTAAATAATGTATAGCTGCAGTAGGCTATCACCTAAAAGGGAAATTTTATCTTTTTTCATATAGACAGTAAAATACCACTTAGATATATTTGTACTAAGACAACTAATGAAACTTTCAAATTTTAAAAAAAAACCCTATTCTAAAAGGGAAAATACTTTGATTTCCTACTTCAAACAAAAAGATAAAAAGACACTTGAGACTTATGATGTAAAAGAAAAAGATGCTGACATTTTTCATTCAATCTATACTCACACTGTAAATAATTCACCACCAGAGCATTCTACTCTTATTTAAAGTAGTCTGTTCATATGCTGCTAGTTGGCTTTTTATTTACTGAATAATGAAACAAACAAATGTTTAAAATAGTCCTAATCTTGAGGAATATTTAATGAGGACACACAGTAAGCCTTTCTGTTGAAACTCCCACTTACAAGAGGTGTTCTCAAACTTTGCAGTACCATAAGCCCATAAAACAATAAATGAATTTGTATGATCTCCTGCCATGAATAAAAGGAATGATTTCATTGGGGTTAGGGTAGGGCAAGAAATAAATATATCACTTATTTTTAATAATTACATTTTAATATACATATCAAATGAATCAATGATAGAGTCTTGCAATTTTATAAAATATTTTCATTGGATGTAAACAATAAAACAATCACATTTAAAAGGATTTAGGGAAGGATATGTTTGTTTACTTTTGCCCAATTCCTGAAATGTGGGTTTCATCACTGAGACAGCCATCTTCACTTCTAATCCCACATTTATTTTGGGTCTATATTTGCTCTTTACAGCAGCAACAGTACAAACTACAATGGGAGCCAATTTTGACAGGGCTCCAGCTTTGGGGAGAGAGGCCATGAATTGTGCACCTGAAGTTGGAGCTCTGTCACAATTCATTCCAGGCTTTGCTGCAAGGATAGCCATACACCCTTAAGCTCTAGTTAAATAGATCCAGATAAAGTAATACAGAAAACCCATGATTTAATGAACTAAGGAGGAAGAGGGTACCCACTGAAGCTGAAGGTCTGTTAAACCATTTTTTAACCCATTTTTAACCCCCTTTTTTTAACCCATCCATATTTCTACAGAAAGTAAACAGAAGCCACAGTAATAGGGGAAGGGGTATTCTAAGCCTTCCCCACCAAAACGAATGCGGACTGTGGAAGTAGTGAGCAACTCTGATTTCTAAGTTATCTGCTCACTGATAACTGACTTACTGACTTGACTTCTGATTTATTGATTTACTGACTTAACTTCTTTTACTGTAGGTTAGATTGTGTTACATTTGAATTGTGCTAAGCCAAAGTTCATTACATTGCAGTTTCCTGTACAGGTAGTCCCCGGGTTAAGAACGCCCAGTTTATAGATGACCCATAATTAAGAATGGAGCCTATTATAGCAAAATTTGAGTTAAATACACAATGATTTGAGTTAAATACATAATGGTTTGAGTTAATTACACAGTACTACTTATACAGTATTACTGCTCTGGCTTATGTATAAATTTGACTTAAGGATGACCTTGGGAATGGAACTCATTCTTAAACTGGGGACTACCTATAGTGGAGAATTGGAAAGCCTAGCTTTCTAGAAATATCTTCCACTAACACAAGGATGGCCAATCTAAGGGGGACCAAGGGCCACACATAATGTTGCTTGTACAGATGGAATGGCAAAAATGTGCATGGTCTAATCACACATGTGAGCAGGGCTTGATCTAGGGACATTTAGGGGGAGTTCTTTGGATTTATATGTAATATGCCAATTGAAGTTTTATAATACTTTTTCCTTGGGCTTCTCACCTCAAAATGGCATGAAAACTATTCCTTAGTTTTCTAGAATCATGAGCAAAAGGGTCTCCAAAGGCCACAAAAAGGGGACTTCGGGGCTGCAGGTTATCCATCTCTGTACTCACAAAATCAATGCAATACTGAATAAAAAGAATGATGCAAAAAATTGGATTCAGACCAAGTTAATTCTTAATATCAGTGTAATTCAACTGAATTATGATCATTATGTTATGTTGATTTCAATGGGATCTAAGTTCAGCCAAGTCAATCTAGCTCCAACCCATTGTTCATGTGATGCATTTAACAGCATCAACAGCTATCGTTTCATATAAAACAGCAAGAGACACTATTGCATGTTATGTTGTTTTTAAGCTGAAGCATATTTAAAACAATCCAGGGAGCTGAACTTGCCCTCAATAATGAGGTCTTGATATTTAAGCATATCAACTCACCACACTTCATGTTCAAAACTAGTAAAACCTGCCTACCACTGTCTAACAATGTTCTTCCTCTTTCATAATATTTACTGACTGTAGATCAGTTAAATGTAAACATAATTTATTCATGGCTCAGCACTGCATATTTTCATGGTATTTTGCAGAAAAAATATAGGTATTCAAGATAAGGGACAGCCAAAAGGTTATGTGAATGTATTTATTTTTATATATATATATTCCTGAAAACAAATCTAGATATAAATCTGCAACTGGACTGTGGAGAAAAAATGTTTTAGATTTTCTGATATGGATCTTTACTCAGATGATATGAAATTAAGATGCGCCAGTCACCACAATACACAGTAGCAGTAGAAAAACAAAAGGCAAGTTAATTTGTATACAAAAGCATTTTAGGATAATTTGTATAGCTGCAGGAATTTTATAAAGTGCAAAAGCTACATTCTACAAACATTTTTATAGGTGTAAAATAGAGGGGAGAAAGGTTAGTATCAATCATGCAGCAAGGTTAGGGTTCCAACAAATATTGAACCAACTTACTCTCTATAGAGAGTTCCAACACAGGGGACGGCATGCAAAAAGAAAAAAAAGGGGGAAGGATGGGAAGGAGGGGGGAGATAAAACACACAAATTAGTTGCCATCCACATAGTTCCTGCATGAAAAAATTATGATACAAGGATTTATATGTTTTAAAATATTAATACCTTTGGAATCAAATTCCTAAGTAGTACATAAGTACAAGTCTACCTTCAGCCTTTCCCCCCACTTTTCTCTTTTCAAATCAAATCATCAGAAGAAAAATACTTTTTTGTGAGCAATTTTAAAACATGTGGCTGTGCATCAATTCAAGCATTGCACTTTAGTAAGTAACAGAACTGTAATGTATGCATACCTATTAAAACTATAACATCTTAAGTGAATGTGGATATTTTGGGTATCCTACAGATACAAACATAACAGAACTGAAGCCAATTATTTTCTACTGTAGCAGCTTTCTGCAGTATTTGTAAGTTTGGACAACTCTGACATGATGCTTCAAGTAATAGAATGTTAGTTACTGTTCCATTAAAGCCTAAATATTTTACTGTATGAAGTACCCCAGTGGGCTCCTAAAACAAAATGCCATTATAGACAGTTCGGTCAATAACATCCTCACACAAGGCCAAAGTGCTTAACAAAAAATTCTAGAATTATTGCTATAAACAGGTTAAATTAAAGACACACCTAAGGCTTATATCCTTAGCAAACATAACAGAAAAGCTCACTGAAGTTAAAATGTATTCATAAATAGAATAATCTATAAATTTAGAATTTACACTAAAAGATGCAGAACTTTTTCAATGAACTCAAACAGGTACAACAAACAGGTATTAAAATTTTAGCAACTTTGTTCTCAATAGTTGTTCAAATATTTATTCTTGGGGAAAAGTGGGAACAAACTGAAAATGACAATATCTGAGGCAGAGTGGAGATGAGCTGTTTCTTGCAGAAACTATAGTGTTGGGTCAATTTTCATCCTACATTTCTTCTATACTACACACAGCAAGATTAGAATTAGTTCATAAGTTGTACTTCATTTTCTCTATAATTCTTCATTCTTCCTTCACTCGAACAGCAAGTAATGTCCGTTCAAGATTTACAACTGCTTGAATGTGAAGTTTTTCTTATCCCTTGATATAATATATGCACCACCCTTCTGGATGCATGTAAGGTAAGAAATACTTTCCAAGGTTTAAATACCCATTTACTGACTACTTCTCTAAAACTGATACATCAAACTTAACTGTATTACAGTCTTTTTACTGATTTTATTACTCCATTGGCACAGAGCTATTTGCAAGAAACAATTCCAAAGTGAAAAATTAGGAAGTTATATTAAGTGAATATTGGAAATCAATATACTATTCAAACATAGTGAATTATTTTAACATAGCAAATGGTTTCTATGACTGTAATATTATACAGTCTAGAAAAAAGATCACAAGAGTCATAATGTTTCAAAATCTGGCCCCAAGAATAAAGAATTTGCTTTAACTGTCTTAATTTGAAGCAGGCTATCAGATGGCCATTTTCAGTGGGTCTATACCAGGTATTATTAAAATTAAACCCCAGTCTACAGAACAGTATCTATTTAATTAAAAACAGCTTCCACAAAAAGATTTCAAAAGTGATATGTTATCAGAAAGTTATGCTGGTGCCATCACCTACTAGTATTAGTTGATAATAAAAGTCAAGAGATATCAAATTACTGTAATTGTTAGGAATGGGACAATGCAGTAATTTTTTCCCCCTGAACTACTTCTAGATTTTTAATATTTTCAGTTACCTCAAACTTTTCATTAGAACCACATCCCCATATACAAGAATACGGATGCAGAATGTAAACAACTTCTGCATTTGTGGCAAAAATAAAATGTCTTATAACACTTACAAAAACTAATGTATGGTCTAAGCTTTTATGAGCTAGAGCAGAATGTCATGGGACACTCATCCTAAAAGTGGGGTGACCTTTGAGGAAACAGATGTAATATTAGTAGAGATGACATAAGGCATACTTTACATAGCCCCATGAGTTCTTACAAAGTTAACGCTCCTACAAGTTCAATACTTGCAAGACAAATATCAAAATACAACATTGGTGATTACTGTGATGGGTGTTTTCCTGATTTGGTGTATGGAGGTAATCAAGTTAGGTTAACTCCCATTTGCTCAGAATGCAAGGAATAAAAAGATTTAATTATAACTTCTTTCAGGAATTTCTATACTGTGGTTAAATTTGATGTAGAGAAGTGGATCATAATTAAAATAATGAAATATAAATACAGAACAGGTTCAGAGTCAGTTGGACATTTGTTTGGTGTGACACTGAATTTAAAATTCTGATTGTCCTTAAAAACAAAATGATTTGAAAAGAAGATGCTATGGTACTCTTTTCACCAATAATATCCCAGCAGAAATGTGAGTGTCAAGCTGTGTAACCTAATTAAACCAAGCAGGCCCACCAACTTATGTAGCTAGTAAGTTTGTTGATGCAAGTACTATTTTCACATAGAGCTACTGAATCAAGAGGTGACTAAATATGAAGTTTTGCAAGCTAGTCTAAATCAAGTCTTATAATATCAGAAGGGTGACAAATATCCTGAAAGATTTATAACTGCAAACAGCAGACTGAACACTGGAAGCAAGGTCATTTACTACTTCTGGCAGATAGTTGGGTTTTAATGTGGCTTTCATTTGGTTTCCATATTAGATTGGGTTGGATACTTGCCCCCTTTCAGAGGAATAATGTTTCATCACAACAATGTAACTATATTTTAAACTCAAGTGTCTTCTCAACCAGATTGATGTAATACTCTTGCAGTGAGTATTGGGTCATGATATGATAATTCCTTTGCCTGTATTAATATAAACACAGCTCTGACTTCTTCCAGGAATTCTTAAAAAAGAATCTTAGGATCTTCAAATGTACAGTATGGCTACTGAAATCTGAACAGGGCCAAGGCATAGTAAGCCACTGAAATTAATAGGGGGACCAAAGTCTACGTTATTTGAAATGCCTTGGAATCTGAAAGGATTGAAGTTTCTAGCTGTATTATTGTTTAAGTACCTGGCAAAGAAATTGTGATCTGATGAAAGACCCAGCCATGGAATAAAAAGGTGATAATTATTAATACAGTTGGAGATTAATGATTCCTCTAAGGCAGAGCTTTATATGAAGAAGAAAGTGGCTGTAAGTCTTTAAATGAGAACAGAGCCATTAGTAAACATAACTGATTCAATTTCCAAAACCTAACATTCTTTAGGATTTAACTTTTTTTCTCCTAAGGCTAGGAAATGTGGATCAGATAGTTAATTTCACTCCCCTATCCAGCTGAGTAGTGGAAAAAGACTGATGAGTGTGTTTATTTTTAATCCTCCTCTTAAGGGCCTCCTCTTCCCTTTAAATCTGAAAAGTGGGGAAGGAGATATATTGGTAGAATGTGGAAAGAGGAACATATAATCTTTTAATGGGATCACACATGCCTTTTGTCCAGTTGCTGATCAGAACTGACACTTAAAGCAAGAAATGTAAAAGTTGCTAGCTGTCCTGGAAAGCCTTTGCCTGGAAAAAGAAGCCTGCTTTGTTTATGAGATCTTTTTCACAACAACATTGGTAAAAGATACATTAAGAGTCAGTATGGTACAGTGATTAAAGGTGCTGAATTAGAAGCTAGTTCTAGTCCTGCTTTAAGCATGTCAGCCAGCTGGATGACTTTGAGCCAGTCATTCTCTCTGAAACCTAGGAAGAAGGCACTGGCAAACCACTTCCAAAAATGTTGCCAATAAAACTGGATGGACTTGTCCATGTGGTAGTCAGGAGTCAAGAATGACTCAAAGACAGATAGACACACACACACACACACACACACACACAGACAGAAAGGGGGGGAAAAGCATTAATAGCTCTTTGCTGCCATCTGATGGCTGGTGAAAGGGATAATTTCAGTTGCTACTTGATATGCAAAAAAAAATAAATAAATCAGGAATTAGATGGCACTTTTCTAACACATTTTATTAAAAGGCATAAGTTTTCATGAGCTGTAGCTCACTTCATTAGGTGGATAACATCATTTGCATAGCTACAAAATCTTACAACTTTTAATAACATTTGTTAGTCGGAAAAGGTGCTACCAGACTCCTCCTGAGTTTTGGCTACCAGAGACTAGCAAGGCCCTCCGTCTGCAATGTTTACTTGATAAGCACACAAACCGGTGGGGATGGGGCTGCTGCAGGAGGACAGCAGGAAGCTTGAAAAGCCCTAACATGGATATTATGGCTTCTGCTGAGCAGAATCTCAAGTAACTGGGCTGGGAGTCTCTGATTGCTTCACTAATATCTGCATTCATGCACTAAAAAGACTCACAGCAGGAATTGGCTTGGCTAGAAGGTACTAACTGCTTCTTTTGTCTCTTTCTTCAGCAGATGATTCCTTCTTGGTGTTACAGAGAAGCAAAATAAGAGAAAGAAAATATCCATTATGCATAATTATTAAAAAGAAATTAGAAGACTCCGAAAACAAGGGGAAGAAAAAAGAAATGAAGAATTGAATTGAAAAGAGGAGGCCTGAAAAAGACAACAAAATGCTTCAAAAATTAGAGAAGTTGTGTTTTGTATCTTTTCTTACTGAGGAGAAGACAGAAGGAATTTCTGAGAAGGTATAGCACAAAAAGCTGTTACACAATTTCCTGCTTCTGAGCAAGCTGGAAGTAACCCACCTTATATATGTCATAATAGTTTAACAGAATGCTTTCCAGGGTCTCAAATCATTGCTAGTTAAAGCAACATATAATTTGCCTGTATCTTTACAGATACCTTGCATAATGAGTTAAGCCCTTTTGAGGCTTTTACATTGGTGTATAATGGCATGTGAATAAAACCAAGTTCCGCTCCACATAGATATACATTATTTGTACAACTATATACCTGGCGAGATCTTCCCTGTGCATTTAGGAACCCTGGACCTGAAAAATTGGAGAAGACCAGCAATACTTGCAATCCATGGGCCTGGATCTTAATGTTTAGCTTTGCAACTCCCATGATCAAAGCTTTTAGAATTTTAAAATGGGTATTTAGAATTTTAATTTTAGGTATATTATACCTAGTAAATCATCATAAATAATAAAATGCAAATACAAACCTTGCTATGAGGATCAGCAAACATCCTTGTGAAGATTTCACACAACCTTTTTAATTCAACACGACTGTCAAAATGACAAAATATTAATTTAGTAAAACTGCAGAGAGATGTGATGAACAATCTTAAAAAGAAATCCATGTCCTAATTTATTAAAAAATGGTTGCAAATTCAATTTTTAAATAGAATTTGTTAATGATCTCATCAAATGCAAAGAATTTAAAGTACCATTGTGCCATATTCCTTATATATAGAATATTCCAGTTTTAATCCTAAAAAATGAGATACAGTATTGTCGAGAAATATGGGTAGGACTGAGGTTTTAATTTATTGCATGCCTGTAGAAGTCCTTAAGGAAAATGACAGCCTTGAATAAGTGGAGGGAAGTTTCAAGCTGATGTTTTTAAAAGGAAAAGGCTTCATTTCAAGGCCAGTACTGCAGAAATTTATCTTGAGAAAAACTAAATGGAAGGTTGCAGGAAGGTAGAAAAGCAGTATGTACAACAGTGCAAAAAAGACACAAAACACTGTTGCTCTTTCCCCCAGACTTTATCTGTTAGATAAAAACAATCCTGAAGGACCTTCTAGTTAAAAGAAGCATCAACCTGATACAGCATTTAATTGGCTGATTGATGGACTGTCCACGTATTTTGCAATTGAACTGATGAATGAGAAGACGAATCCTTATCATCATCTGTCTAGGGATTTCTATTTCTCTAAAAATGGCTTTTTTAAAGCTCATTTTGCCCTTTCTCAAACTTTTATTAGGTGCCCTTAATACAACAATAGGAGGCCATAAAAGCTATTCATTCAACAACTTTCCATGACTCCCATAAAGATCCTCATCCTCTATCCGTGCTGCCCCTGAGCCATCAAGACCCTCACTGCAGCTAGGAATTCAGAATGGATCATTGCTTCAACCTTCAGGAAATGGAGACTATTGGATCGCGTGAGTAACAGTTGCAAACTCTTGTGTGGCTAAAACAAATCATCCAGTTCCCGGGTGCAGGCTCTTCCCACTCTGACTGACTCTAGGCACCCACTTCCATCAATTAAAAAAAGGCTAAGATTAAACCAGAAAAAGTTGCACTTCTGTAGAAATTTAAATTAATGATAATGCCCATCTTGATGCAATTAATTCTCCATGTCTGTAGAGGGCAAATGTCTGACTGATGGTTGGGTGTTTCCTGTTTTGTAAGGTTCATTTTAAGCAACTGCTGCAGCCTCATATTAATGCTGCCTGCATGTACTAAGAAACAGGATGAAGAAACTACTACTATTCCACACTAACTACCTAGTTATCCTACTATTCCACACTAACTACCTAGTACAGGTTTGGCAGAGGATGAGAGCTGTAGATTTTAGTGAGATCTTGCCCTCTTCTCAGATGCAAAAAACTAGACTTGCAAGGATATCATATACAGTGGTGCTTAAAAGTTTGTGAACCGTTTTGAATTTTCACTTCTGTATAAATATAACCTAAAATGTGATATGTTCTCCACATAAGTCCTAAAACTAAATAAAGAAAATCCAATTAAACAAATGAGTCAAAAACATTATACTTGTTCATTTATTTATTGGGGAAAATTATCCAAAGCTATATATGGTAGATGGCAGCTCTGATCTTGGATGATCTCAGAAAAGCTGAACAGGATTCGTTTTAGCTACTATTTGGATGGAAACCACCAGGTAGCCTCAGGACTGTAGAGTAGATGGGGAAGTGGAAAAGCATTGTGGAAAGTGACAATGCCAAACCACTTCCATATTATTGTTGAGACATCATCAAGTAATGACTATAGCCAGGAGGCAAGATCCACCTTAGGGAGACTTCACATTCATGTATTTAGATATATGCTGGCCAAAAGCCACACTTATAGGAGGAGATTTATAGATAAGGTGCTTCTGTCTCCTGCTCATCCCCTTGCTTTCAAAATGTTTGCTATGTTAAATATAACACATTGTACATGGAGTACAATGAACATCTGAAATGTAATTATACATCTGAATCAGCTTATTTCAGAAAATTTATGCAATAATAATTAGATCAGTCAATGTTACAGGTCTAATTAAATTTCTTATAGGCTTGGGTAGCACTATTTCTTCATCCCCCTTCCCAGGACTGAAAGTTAACTTCCTTACTTTGTGACTGCTTCATTTTCCTGGTTGAGCATTTTTCTTCTTAAAATCTGGGCATCTCAGGCCCTGTCTCTGTGAAAAACTTAATTTTATGGACTAATTGAGGAGATGGAATATCCTTTGGAGCTGAGTGTCTGTTAAATGAAAATTAACCTAACTGATATAATTTATGATGCATTTATATAATTTGAGTAATTACATAATTATGGGAATTATGTAGATTATAAAAATTGTCTAGACTGCTTCAAAACAATGGACTGAAATCCATCCCCACCCAAAATTTAATACTAGATTTGTGATCAGTGACTTTCTGACAGGATGCTTTAAAAAGAAAAGGACAATAATAATGCCTTTGAGTACAGATTGCAAGATAATCATTTCACATATAGTGCTAATTGGAGGTTTCTGCCATGCAGAGAAAGGGGGTTAGCTTTGTCTACCCAAGTACTGTCACTCAAGCAATCTCTAATCTGCACTCAGAGAGTTTGCTCTTCCCTCCTTGTCTGTGCTTCACTGAATCCTCTTTCAACATGGCAGTCAAGCTTAGAAAAGTATCTTCTATTGTTACCAACAGAATTTTTTTCTCTGAATTTAAATGCCACAATGAAAATCACATCTGTATGAAAATTAAGCTTAGGGTTAAATGCATGTATTTAAGTATTTAGCTAGGGCTGCGGGAACACAGCCCAGCCGCTGTTCTTTCTGTTGCTGCTAGGCTCTGCGGCTGCCCAGGCATACACCTCTCATAGCCAGGTCCAGGCTCTTATTCTGGAAGTCAACCTGGAGGATTTGATCAGACAGCTTCTAAGATGACTTGTAGTTCTACTGGCTGGATTATGAGATTGGAAACCCACTCTAGGTTGGGACTGGGGGTTGAGGGAGTAGGACAGCAGTGGGTTGACCTTGCACTAGCCCTGGGTAGTGGTTAGGCAGGGGCTGTTGGTCTGATTGGATACTTATGGCATCATGGTACTCTGGGCTGCCGAGTGCCTAAGAGGAGGAGCAACTGTGATTGCAGCTGTGTGAGAGGGCTGTGGGTGGTTGTTGGATGGATCCCTTGGCTAGGAAGGGGGAGGATGGTGGTCTGACACATACTGCAGATTGCACATTGGATCTAGTTTTTGTCTCAGGGCTAGTGATGTGCAGCTGGAGTACATTACCATCAGTCCTTTATCATGGCCAGATCACTGTGACTGCTTTTCAGTTTGCTGGTACTGATCCCTTCCTCCCCCTGTGGTCTGATGGGATTCCAGAAGCATGCCTTTTCTGTGACAATGCACACCCTCTGGAACAACATACCAGAGATTTGAATGGTCCCTACCTTGCTCTCCTTCAAGCGAATCTTGAAGACCTGGTTCTTCCCCCAGGTTTTGGGCTATAGTGAATGCAGGACTCCTCTGGGATGGCGTGTTTATGAGATTGGTTATAGATTGTTCCCCCAGGTTAACCACTGTGTTTTTTCTAATTGTTTTTATACTTGATTTTATTGTTTGCTGCCTGAAGTCAGGCGGCCTTATAAATATGATTCAAAGATTATAAATACATGTTTTCTACTGAAAGCAACTAACAAGATTGTGACTAAACTCTGCATTTTTAAATACATACTAATGTTACATCTGAGTACGATGAAAATAAATTCTTTACCTTAATGTCCTCTGATTTTTTAATAAATTTTGTAAACCGAGAAGACCTTCTTTTCTCTCTGACCAGTTGGAGCTTGCACAGCGGTTAAGGACTTCAGCAACATCTTCTGTCTGTCGCATATAGGTGGGTATAGTGCCATTCCGTGAGCTATATGATCTTTCTGAGCAGGCACTAGAAGCATCACTGTTAGCATCATCATCAGAGTACATTCCATATGATTCATACCTTCTTCGAACTGGCTTTTTCTGTCATACAGAGAAAATCATAAGATAAACAGTAGCAAAATACAGCTGTTTTATGAGTCAGATGTTTAACTTCTCAGATCCTACTACTATCTTCAGACATCACTAAAAAAGGAAGTACTTATTGTTACTTCCAAAAATAAAACCAAAGACTTCCAAAAATAAAACCAAAGACTTAATTAAAATGACAATCTCCCCTAATCATCATTATAATTGCTACAGTTGAAATAAACCTGCAGCAGATGTTCTAGAGATTTCACATTATAGCTATGTTGGTATCACTGAGTATTTTCCAGCCAGGGCACCAACTTGTCCTGCTGGGGCTGCATTCCTTTTTTTAAAAAAGCAAACACACAAATATTTGGAACTTACTTTAATGTGAGATGTTCTGTAGTTCAAAAGAACAACGGCATTTAAACTTACACAGACTTATTTAGAATCTTTTGGTAATTTAAAACATTTATGCAGAACGTAACGCCTATTTATCAAAATAGTCTTATGTTTATATGTTAAAATATACATATTAATAGGGAAACAATAATAGTTATACCTTTGTCCGTATGTCTCCTAAGAGCTGAGAGCATTAAATTATGGAAAAAACAAAAATGTTATGAATATATACATTGAGTAACTTGTTAGCAGATATGCTATTTGAAATTACTAAGGAATTTGATATCCTGTCTACTGATGACCATTATTAAGCAGACAGAATCAGAATGAATGAATGAATGAATGAATATATATATATATTCATATAATGTTTAAAGGACTTATAGCACAAAAATCCAGTTTTTATTATGAAAGCCAACAAAAACTGGATTCATTCCACTACTCTATATGAACTAGAAAGTGTTATGGTTGAGTGGTATGAGCTGAACTCATGTTAAAGCAATCAGATTATTGCTGAGAGATCAAAAAGCCGAGTAGAAAAAACCTGAAATACGCAGAACAGGGCTTATAAATGAAGTTGCAATAGTCATGGGATATAATTAGAAAAATATTATTTCATTAACTCATTATTTCATTAACTCAGCCAGAGTTTTCTCAGCTAGAGTAATTTGTATTTATTTATTTTTTTTAAAGTAATGACATGTAACTAACACGATTCTCTGAAAAACTATGCATAATCCTCTGTGACATTATTATCATAGAATACAACACAATTACAGTCCAGGACACCTTATCTCATAGAACAGGTGGAGGACAGGCTAGCCTGTGGTTTCAGAAGCCTTAAGAAAAACATGGTTATGAAGGAAAAAAGAGACATGCTAATACTTATTAGGAAAGGAGCACCACTTAACTTGGTAGAATCAACAGCCAAATTAGGCAATAGCATAATAAAGCCATAAAAAACAAAAACTCTACTTTGTTATCCCCACAAATGGCAGAGGGTAGAAATGCTCACCAATGCATCTGCTACTGCTTCTTCTACGTCTGAGCCTGTGTTTAAGACACGCATGGCACTAACTGATGAAGATAATCGGCTTGATTGACTTATTCCAAAACCTGTTCCTGTAATGAACAGTGAAAAGAAACAGTTAATTTATGTTTAATATATTATTAAACAAAATGGAAATATTTATTTGGAAGTGATCAAATCCCTGAAATGTATGGCTTCTATCTGTTTTGGTTCAATACCACTAAACCCATATAGCATTTGATTTATTAAGACAGGAAAGTGTAATTCAAGTAGACATTTCTGGCACAAAATACTAACCCAAGGGGCTCTAGTCTATACAATGTTATGTGCACATGCAACAATTGTATGTGCAGCAGTTCTCTTTGAGGTTTTCCAAAGTATCTTTTGTTGTTAGAGAAATGTTGTTAAAAAATGACTTCATTTTTTAAGTATTACACTGCTGCAGTAAACATTTCAAAAAAAGTTTGATCAAATACCAGCAGTGTCCAGTTTAAGTACATAAGCTGTAGCATTTGCATGATGACGTCACCTATGTGTCATCATTTTCTCCTTGTCCTCCCTGAAAACACCCATGTTTACCAAATATAGTTCTCAAAATATGCTCATAAAATTACATTACACTGTGGCCTTAACACTTAAAGAAAATGTAAATGCAGTTATTTTACTGTGGCCTCTATAATAACGAAACAAAATGCTACTGATAGCATAACTATACAGGAGCTGAAACACTGGCAACTAATCTAAATCTCCTATTAAAATATGTTCAGTCTGGTGTTTGTTGGTTTATAAATTATGAATATATTAAAGAACTGTGGTCAATATAAGCTATATCACTGCATATGTAAAAGCAACATGCATTAATAAAGCTTTAGAAATAAAGGATAATGAAACAAAGAAAAAGCAACATTCACCTTAAATTAAAGGGAGAAAAAGTTTACGGTATATGGAATGAAAGCATTGTTTCACATACTTTAAATATCCCAAAATTATGAGTACAAGCTAATGCAGAAAACAATAAAAATAAACTGTATGGAAAACCAAATATGGTAAAAATTAATCAGTAATACGTGATGATGGCACGTATGATAGCAAAGAGTACTCATCCTTCACCTGTAGCCCCATAAACATCTGGAGAGTAGAGAGCACCAGTGGATCTGGAGTGATGCCTGGAAGCTATAATAACAGGATCATATGAATCCTCTCTGTTATTATAATAATACAGAATAGGACAACTGCAGAGAGAGCAATGAAGCAAGTTCTGGGCAGTGAGAAATCAGTCTGTCTCTGGACACTGATTTACACAGTGAATAATAATCAAGGGTGAAATTGCATAAGCATTTGTTGTGGGGCAATGAGAACAACTTATAGTTCCTACAGTCAACCACTTGTGTCCAACTTCTGCCATGTTACATTCAGAACTCTGCTACTGGATAGTGTTCAGAAATACTGTTGGTAGCAGCATCATTATAAAACAGTCGTACTGCTGATGGTTGAAATAGGTATTTTTACAGTACTCCAAATCCTCAGTGATTATTTGAATTGGATACAAAGGAGACTATAAGTGATGTTGGGGATGGAAAGGTAATTATTTATTCCTCTAATTGGTCTTAATAAGATATCACAGGATTTGGCTGTAGTAATTTATCAAATTATGGGGAAGACAAAAGGTAAAGGCCATATGGACACTGCCATGTAGTTTCTCTGACAAGAATATGGAACTCATTGCCACAGGCTTCTTGTGGGATCTCCCTCCCCCACCTTTCTTGGCTAGACCCCAGCTTTCTTGGCAGTCTTCTATCCAAGTACTAACCGCATCTGATCCTTCCTACCATTTCAGATCAGCCAAGCTTAATTAAATGTGCAAAATGCTGCAACCTCAAAATGACCATTCTGGGCAGGGATATTCACAGCGACAGTCACTGGCTTTAAAATGGAAGGTGCGACCAGGCTATCACAAAATTAGTGTTTTACTGGGCAGGGTTTCATTTGCCTGGTTGTGCTTGCCATTTTGAAGTCAGACCCCATCAGTGAGGATACCCCAAATTCTGGTTATTCTGAGTTTGAAGAATTTTGTCTCAACAATGGAACAAGACAACTCTGCTTTGCCTGAAACAAAACTTGACCATTTGCAATAGTGTTATTTCAGTTTTTACAGGATGTTCCAAGCACTGTGACTGGACTTAATCTTTGTGACTTGTGACTTTTTTTTTTAAATCAGCCTAGCCAATACAGTAATTGGGTCACTGCTACTTATTGTCTTAGTTCGGATGGGATGATGAATGTATAAAAGGGCAGTGGGGGTAAAGTGCAGTTACCAAGTACATGGCTCACACTTGAAAAGTCATTGTAGACTCTGCTCTACTCATTTTTCTGCATAGAGAAAAGATTGCTGGCAGCTGCCAGTCTACTAGCTAAGTTACTTTACAAAAAAATATTTGCTATGGGAAACCTAGTAGGGCTAGGGAATACTTCAATTGTGCTTTGGAAGAGATGGCTTTGGAATGCATGGGAACACAAATACAGCACCACCCTGTGTGACTCATTAAAACAGCTGCATTTCCCCCAGGATTGTATATCTGTTTTAATGAGTTGCCCCCATAGCCATTGTGAACTATGTGCAATACTGTATATACAAATATTTCACATGCAAGAGCTGCTAATGCTGCTGAGTTTGTAAACCATGAATGCAAAAAGCATTACTAAGACTATGTTTATGGTTTGGCATGACATGCTGAGTCTCTTGTGCCCTGCCGATGCTGAGTTTGATGATACATTTCATGCCACATTTTGCTGTTTTATAGGGCCTCTATAGATCTGTTTGCTTCTTTTCTTTGCTATTGGAATGTTAGTTTTATTCATGTAAAAATAAACCAGCAAAACCTTCTTTTGCAGGTACAAAAGCCAGGCACACAGGTCCAGTATACAGCAACACACTAACTGCTTTGAGCTGGGCTTGTGGCTCTGAAGCAGGCAGAGTGCAAGAGCTGGTTTAGAAGGCTGGGTGGTAGTCCATGCTGAGTGCTATCTGCCAGCCAATTTACACACAAAATGAGTCAAAGAGAGAAGTTTTACTACACACATGCAAGTTTTTTAAAAAAAAATTAAGAATCATCCCCTTGGCTACTTTCTGTGTAGATTAAATGGCATGTAGGTGATAGTGGGGACTACCACTTCACCTATTCTTGTGGCCACAGAATGAAAAACAAGGGTTTAAGGGTCTCGTTCCAAGTTCTCCTTGTTGTCTATGGCAATATTTCATCTATGAAGCTCCTGGAACATTCTGGTAGAACATTTCATTTGGAACTGTTTTGTGCAAATGTCAGAATAGAAAGCATTTCTGGTCTTGCACATACCCTAAAACAGACTAATAAAGCTCAAAGTGATGTATAATTTTATAGAGAAGATAGGAATAGGAAGTAATCAATTTTGAAATTCTGGCACGAAACTATATCCTAACTATAAATACTGTTATAATTTTTTATTTAGTTTACGTATTTCTGAGTAACATTCACTTCATTGCAGACACTGCAGAAGCTAATGATACATGACAGCTGTTTACCTAAGTTAGAAATTTACAGACAATAATACTGAAGCTTTTATTAAACTTGTAAATGTTGAAATAAAAATGCACTGATTCAAATTTTGCAAGATAACACACATAATTAACATATGGCTTAATTCATCATATAAATCAAGTATAGCATGCAAATCATAAACAACAATCTAGACATAATTTAGTAAAAGGCATATAGCAGAAGCACAGGGACCTTTTTTCACTGTTAAAATACAACCTACCGCAATCAAAGTTAACAAATAGATATAAGAGCATGCTATGTTATATTTTTATGTGTACACATGCACATAGACATATACTCAATTCCTATGATTATACCTATCTTTTTTATTAGAGAAAAATATTAAATGGTAAGTTTTCTTAAGTCAAAGCAAATGAATCTTGAGATCTTAATTAAAGTAAGTTCATATGCAGGGCTCAGTGTCAAGCAGTGGCATTGTAGTGATGGATTCCACAAAAAAGATAAAATGATGTTTTAAATTAGTACGCTATATTAAAACTGCTTTAAACTTTTTCTGAAAAAAGGAAAGATGCTGTTAAAAAGATAAAACTATGGATTTTTAAGAATAAGTGATACTGATAGCTTTAATTAATAGTACTTAAATCCAATTTTTCAGATTAAAATATTATATTATGTTAATTCAGTGCTCATCTGATTTCATTGAGATTTTAGACATTCAAGTCAGTAATTGCTATGGTGATGTACTGAGTCAATTAATAGGTTAGAATGTTGTGCTTAAGAAAGAATTAACACTGGAAAGTGTGCAAGAACCATAAAATGAAATACAGATTTTGAGTTTAACATTCAAATTATTAATCATTATTCTATTCCTGTTATATGTATTTCTATCGATTATATTATTAGTCACTGTATGACATTAACATGACATAAAATAACAGGATATAAAATTGCAGTCTGATCTTTATTTCAAAAATTTGTACAATCTCTTTTGGCTGACTGTGAGTCATCAAGTTTTGCATGGTAGCAAAACGCAAAGTCCTTTGAATCTTCACTGCCACCACTGTAATCAACTGAATAATGTCTTCTACATTAAACAATTATCCAAATTATCAAGCAGAGAGATCAAAACAAATGTAATATTTATTTTGAGCAAAATCAAAACAAATGTAATACTATGTGATAAAAAAGTAACAAATAAAATTATGGACCATAGAAACAGAAGATACACCTACTACCTCAGGGCACAATCCAGAGGCGAGTGACTATCACCAGTTTTTCCCATCCAATTTCATTCCCCCACCTCTAACAAGAACCCCAGACTTGAATTTGGGGTTTGATAGAACACCTTCTGCTAAAATTACTGTATACATGCAGAGAGTTTTCAGCTTAATAGAAATTCATCAGAAACATATATATTGAAGAAATTACTGATGTACGCCACAAAGCTTTAGAAATACTGTGCACATGCCTCTGAATTGTGCCATCACTCTACAATTGCACAGGATATTTTTAAGCTCTTCAGATGGATAAATTCTTCAGCCAAAATATGCAAGTTACATGTCCTTTATGCAGGGAAACATTTACTTGTTATCTTTACTTCAGCTCATATCAGCATATAATCAGGGGCAAACAGCCATGCAGAACAAGCTCTCCGTGTACTTACCAAGGGGTGCAAAAGAGCGGACAGGGCTTGTATCCCTGCTACTTTCACGACTGGCTTCCCGACTGCACCCCTGACTCACACTAGGCCGAGGAATACGACTACCTCGAGCTAGTATGATTCAGGGGACAGAATCAACAGCAGCACAAAAAGGGAAAGACACAGAAAGAGTTCACATTTTAATGCAATCCCAAGTGTTTTCACTTTATACAATACTGAGCATTTCTAAAGCACTGTCTGTTGTCTCTATTTGTTATTTAAAATATAAATACTTCTGCTTACAGTGCGCTGAATTATAGGAGACACAGATATTCCCAGAAGAACTTCTTGACTTGGTAAACTAGTGATAACTTAGTGAAGTTTGAATCAACATTAAAAATACAACTACCTTCAGGGAAAATAGGTGGTATTACTATACTTACATACTTGTTCACCCATTTAAATAAAATAATATATATTAATGTGGTTTCATAATTACTTTCAAAATGCTTTTCATGGATGCTGAGAACTATGTGTTTTTTAAATGATAAACTTGTGCTTGCAAACATGTTCTATCATATGGTTATTTATTTCAAACTTTAGAGACTGCACAAAGCTTCTTACATGCATGCTCTTAGATAAACCTGAATTTTGTCTTCACACGATGTATGAGATACCCTATTTTATTTACCAAATATACTTCACTACCTGAAGAACAGTAAAAATGGACATTTATGCTTTCTTCTCCTAATGCAATACCAATCTCAGAAACTGAAATGGCAGAATTAATAGTATTTAGCCACATGTTCAGTGAATGTATGCTCAAGTGACATACAACCCCTTCCATTCTAGGACTGCACTTTATTAGCTACAAGGGCCATGGCGTGTGTGTGTGTGTGTGTGTGTGTGTGTGTTTTAGGGTTTAGTGTGAGGAATTCTGCTGCTGAAAATTGCTATTTTGGTGGCATAATATTGCAAGGCTTCTGTGAGAACAGGCACGGCTTGTCTCTGCTGTACTCAGTTGCTATGTGAGAGACAGAATAGTGTAACCTCTGCTGGCTATAATTAATGAGCAAATCTTACCAACTGACAATCTTGAAGGACTGGCTTCTCTGCTGCATCCTTGGCTTCGAGGAATCTTGCTCCGTTTTTGTGCTGTTGCAGGGCTGACTAGTACTCTCTGAACACCTGTATTCATAGTTGAGAGTGTAGTTGTAGTCAAAACTCTTCCAGGAGAACCAGAACGGCTTCCAGCTGAAGGCAAACAAAACATGTGTTATAATGCTATTATGTAGAATGGGTTTGAATTGTCTGGAAGAACTTGAAGAAATTGTTTATAATCTAGAAAAGTATACGGTCTTACAGCTAGTCAGCAGGTATTATCAACTCATGCCCAGAAATGGGTTTAATATTTGTGCCTATTTATTACAAAATTAAGTAGGGTTGATTCTCATTTTGTGTGTGTGTGTGTGTGTGTATGTGTGTAATTTAGTACCTAAAAATGATTAGGCTACTCTTATCAGTGTAAGTATCATTACCAGCTACTATTTTCAGGACTCTGATACACAAAAAACTTTATTGCATAATAGATCTAACATCATTTACAATAGATAGGAATGACTTGTTTGGTGCCATTAGTTTCCTCACATTCCACTTTCGAATACAGTTTTTAGTATTATTCAATCACTCCTGAAACTGGTGAAGTTGGTGAATAGCCTCCAAACTCCTATAAAGTGATATAGCTTAGCAAGAAAACATGTGTGCTGAGAAAAACTAATGCTTTGAATTATACACAAATATTCATGTTCTAAGCTTACTTTTACCATAGCTATTGATTAGAACTCTGCAGTTATCAATAATTTCACAGAAATGTACGATAATATAGGCAATGCATGTTGAATTTTAGATACTTAAACCTCTGTATAAGGAGTAGGAAACTTGTAGCCTTCCAATGTTGTGAAACAAAATCTCCTAGGTGCATTAGCCTTTGTCCTTTCAGCTTTAATGATAAAAATTAAACAAAAGCAACTTCATGAATGTAATTTAAAAGCAACCTGATAGAAAATTTAAAAAAAGAAGTCCAAGAACAAGCTTGAGTTCATGGGAATGTGCTTCTAGCTAGGGATGTGCAAACAATTTGAAGGAGTGTTTAATGTTTTAATGTTGCAAGTGAAGCATCAATCCTGAATACATATCTTCCCAAATATTCACCATGACTAGGGAGGGCTTTGTGGCAGAATACCTTCCCAGACCATCTGACCATGCATGTGAATGCAGGACAGGACATACAGTCCTGTTCTGCCAAGCCTAGCAGCAAGCAAACATTTTGATTTAAAAAACAATAAATGCCCAATTTTTATCAGCCTAGTTACAGGTTCCTGTGAAAAGTTTTCAAAATATCATCTTGAGGAATGTATGCATAATCTGATCAAAACCCCACCAATCTGAAGACAGTCCAAATTATTTATATATATTTAAACAATTCCATTGTACATCATAGCAGTAAGAAGTGACTGTAATAAACCCCATGGAAGATGATGAGGCAAGACAGTGCTCCATGCAAATGTTATGTGATCATTATTTATACAATGGCATAATATGGTAACAGAACAGCAATTCCCAAACTGCACACATTTTCATGCTTATGTGTGATAGGTAGTTAAACATAAGGCTCTAAGATAATATGCTGCTAAGAAAGCAGTAATCAGAAAGTAATTTTGGATCTACTGGTAAATCTTTGGGATTTTGTAGTATATCAACAAAAATGATAAAGTATCAACATAATTAACTTCTTTCTCCAAATTATTCTGCTACATTTAAAAAAGTCTGAATAAATTAGAAATGTTTTCTGCACCAAGTTCATTTGGTGGTCCTGAAGGTTCTAGTATAAAACAAAGCAGATCCAGCAAGACAGATATATCCTAACCCTGAACTAAGACAACAGCATTTCTACATCTCTGAAAGGAGAAAAAACCAGCACAAATAATCAGCACTATTGCCTCACGAAATGGATATAACCCTTACCATCTAGAAAACTTTTTGGATTTTGCTAATTTTAGTTTCAGAAGCTGGAATATATTTCAGTTTTCAGAAGTTTGGGAAATACTGAATATATGCTGTCTCTTTTTATACAGGAGTCTATTCAGCAGAAAAAAAGATATCTATCAAAACAAATATATGAATATACACTTTGTATACATTTTAAAAAATACATTAAAAACAGATCAGAGAATCAGGACAACGTTCAGATGATTTGGAGAATGCAATCCTATTCATGTTTCCCTAGGAGTTACTCTCACTAACTCAGTGTATGACATCTGAGTACACAGGAAAATAAGGGTAGTAAAAAGCAACTGAAAACTGGTCAAAACCGTTTTTCTTCTTTTTAAATGCACATATAAAATCTTTAACCAAGGCTGCAATTGTGCACTAACTGTATACTTTAAAAAAAAAATATTTTTAAAAATACTGCTTATTTCAAATTGGTTACAAAGCTATAAATATTCATACTGGAAGATTTGTGAGAACACCATGCAGACCATCTAATTAATTGAATGTTCACACATAAAGCACGTTCAATTACAGTATGTGACAATACTTTTTATCCTTGATTGGAATAATTTCAAAAAAACTTGCAGAATCACAAATGTGTTCCTAATCCCTCCTTTTGAGACTGCTTAGCTGTTCTCAATACAGTTTTGAGTCTTCATATATGATCACTATTCTTGGACATGCAACATGCTACCATGTATACACAAATACTGAGCGTTTCTGCTGAACAGGGTCCTGTAATGGATGGTCAAACAACAATGCACACACAAAATCTAAAAAGCCTTACCACCAGACTGTGGATTAGCAGACTGTGATCCTGAACAAGTGTAAAGGCAGGAATAGGGCAAGGGTTTAAAATCCATGAAGAGGGAGGGAGCAGAGCAGGTTAATAATGAATGGTGAATGGAAATAAAAAAGCTTTAGTCAGTTCACATAAAAAAGCGGGAAATGCCACAAGAGGGTCAGGGCTAAGAGCAGTGCATTTAAGTAGCTTCCACCAAGCTCAGGTACTCATATACAACACAAACAGAAGCTGTACAATTACAGTTCTTCCGCTCTTGAACAAAGAACTGTAGAGTAATGAATTTAACTGAAATGTCACATCAAACTCTGTCAGAAGCCCCAAAGAAAGTGTAAGTGCATGGTTTAATAGGTGCAGAAAAATAGTATTATATTTTTCATTCTATAGAATCCAATGAAAGAAAATGAAAGTGCTGGGAGGGAAGGAGGGATAACATACAAGAATTCTGTGTCTGACATTCATGCAGAAGTTGAAAGAAATAACTAAAGACGGCTGTCCATTCTTTTAACATCTACCTGCTCCTGGTTTTTGCTTTTTATTTGAATGATTCTGCGGTTCTAAATATGAGAGAAAAAACTAATTATACTTCCATATTGTTGGTTCCTGTTCTCTTAATGAAAACTGCTGTATAGAACTATGCATATGCAGGCTAATTCCATCATTATTGGTGTCCATACACCCACAAGGCTCCAACCACTAACTGAAGTAAATATTCTGGCCTTAATAAATGATAGATGAGTTGTCTCAGAGTAAATGCAAATATGCAGAGAGTGTGATGGGAAGGGTAAAGATTTGCTGGTCTCAGGGACACTGAGTTGATTATCTCTACTGAATAATCTCTATGTTGAGTAATGACCAAGTTTGATTTCATCTAATCTTGGAAACAAGTGGAGTTGTGCCAGATTTATTCCTAGAAGGGAGACAGCTTAGGAAGAATCCACCCACCTGGGCAGAAACGATCAATTACCTAAAGAAGTGATGATGTCCTTTTCACTGGAAGGGATGGCTAGTTAGTCATCTGTAGAGATGCTTTAATTTGGATTTCTGCACTGAAGGAGTAAAACTCAATAGCTCCTTTTAATGAATGCTGAAAGTATCTACCCAGTCATATCCTTTCCCTGATAAAGGCAGCTAAGGCTTTTGAACCCACTGTTCCACGTAAACTCAACTTAAGCTTCATTCTTACAAATTTCAACCCAAGCCCAAATGTTTGGAATGCTTCCAATCAAGAAAAGTTTCAGGGACATTTATAGAAAAATAGCTGCTGGAACTGCATATACATTTTCATACAATGGCTAGAGTACAGAAACATCTGATTACCATTTTTCATTTTAATTTTTATCAAATTAATTATCTTAAAATAAGAAAAAATGGAAAGCTTTTGCATCTGAACTGTTTTAACATTAAAATAATGTCATTTTAGCCTATTTATTTATTACATTTGTTACCCACAGTAGGCTTCGCTCTGCGGCTTTAATTTCATCCAACAGAATAAAATGTTCACAGTATAATATTAATCAATTAAAGAGAAAGTTTGAAAAAAAACATGCTTATAACAAAATACATGAAAACCAGCTACAAAAAGGATAAAAAGAAATAAAAGTAATAAATAAGTAAATGGCAACAATCACAATTCAAATGCTCTTTTAAGTACAGGCATTTAGCGACTGCTTAGTTTAGTGACCGTTCGCAGTTATGACTGTGATGAAAAAGTAACTTTGTGACCAATCCTCATATTTACTACCTTTGCAGGTCTGTAAAGCAAAAGAAAGCTGAAGTAAGATCATAAGCACAGTCGCAGTTTCACTTAGCAACTGCTTCGCTTAACAACCAAGTTGCCGGTCCCAACTGTGGTTGCTAAATGAGGACTACCTGGTATTTGTTTTAAGCAGTTTATGAAAAATTGATAAAGTTGGGGCTCACTGTATCTCAAGAAGAAGGATAATCCACATAGGAAGCATAGGAAAAGGAAAGCATCACTTGCAACCCTCTATTCCCTTTACCTTGCAAAAATAGGTGACCACTAAAATATTCTCTTTAAATTGGGTGTTTGTGTGTTTTGTTTTTGGTTCCTTTGTTTCATGCTTTTAACCAAAAGTAACCTGCTCAGAGTTGCTAGTGCAAGTTGGGCAGCCATGTAAATATCCTAAATAAGTAAATAAACCCATGCTGGGGGAGAGGAGCATTGGTTGCATAAATCAGTCCTGGAGCTAGTTCAGAGACAAGCCATGTAGGGCTTTAAAGTCAAAATCAGCACTTTGACATAATCTATTCATGTTGGTGTGAACCAGCAGGCAGCTGGACTGCTGCCTTTAACACTAGGTGAAGCTTCCAGGTGATTTTCAAAGGAAGCCCCAAGCAGAGTGCGCAGCAGTAGTCCGAGCAAATGGTGCTGCAATATACACGTATTCCAAGTAAAGCTGAACTGGCACAGCAAATCTGGGCAAAGACTCACCAGCCACAGCTTCTGCCTGCCCCTCTAGCAGTAACCACAAGTCTAGGAGGACTCCCAGTCATGAATCTGCTACTTCAGGGGTAGTGCTGCCTCATCAAGAGACAACAGAAGAGACATTAGAAATCCATGATGGGCAATGACTTTCTCTTATATAAGTTCAACTTCAGCCTGTTTTGTCTCACTTGGATCCTCACAACCGCTAGACCCTGGATCAAAACCTTGACAGCATCTCCTATGCAGCCCGGGGTAGTGATGCACAGCCAATATCATCAGTACCTAAAACTGATGGGATGATCTCCCCTAGCTGTTTCATGTAGATATTAAACAACACAGCCAGTGACTGGAACTGCCCACTGGAGAAGGAGCAGAACCCCTATAAAACAGTGCCTCCAGCCTCCAATCCCTGCAGGCTCTCCAGAAAAATACCACAGGTGATGGTATTGAAGGCTTCTGAGAAGTACAAAATAGCCAGAAGGAACACACTTCCCCCATCCAGATCATAACAAAGGTCATCTGTAAGAGCAACCAATGCTGTCTCAGTCCCACACTCACGCCAGAATTTTGACTGAAAAGAACTGAGATAATCTGCTTCCTACAGATGCTCTATAGCCAAACACTAACCAGGATCTCCATAATCTTCCCCCAAAAGGGAAGACTGGAGACTAGGCAATAGTTATCAAATACAAATGGATCAAGAAGAGCCTCTTAAGAAGAAAGTGTACCATAGCCTCTTTCAAGACTGCTTGCATTGCTCTCTCCTGGATTACCTCCTGCATCCAGTATGTTACATCACCTCCAGACTCCCTAAGGACCCATGAGGGGCAAAGATCAAATCCACAAGTGGTTAACAAAACAGCACAATATCCATTTTATAGGTGAAAAGCAGATCCAGTTAATGTGGCCAGATATTGCCCTGACCATCACAAAGGATTCCACCCATTAAGAGTCAAGTTTCTGATGAGTCTAAGTGACTTTTTTTTGGTAATGCTAACTGGCAGTGCCAACTGACCACAGTTGCCAGATTTATCTGTTGCCCTAGCCTAAAGGGAGCTAGGTACTCTAAATAAGGCTAGTCAATAGCCTAATGATGCAATAATGGAGAAGTAATGACGTTTAACCTCTCTTACTGTCATGGTGTAAGCTTGAACTCAAGCTCATACCCACATTCAGAATCTTTTTGTGTTTTGTTGCTTCATCTCTGGAAGGTCCTTAGTAAACCAGGGAGAAATCTGCAATCAACCAACAGAGAGAGGCTGCTGGGGGCAATTGTATCAAGTGCCCAGGTCACTGCTTATTGACAAGCACAAAACAACTTTCAAGATTTCTGGAAAAACCCCCAGTACCTGCAGGAAACCATCCAAATATAGCTATGAGACACCTGGGGTGACCATCTGAAACAGTCTGTTTGCTCTACAGAGGTCCTGGGTTACATCCAATCTCAACAGTACTAGGAAGTGATCTGAAGATGGTAACGCTGGTGGAAATGCCCTTCATATGAGGATCACAAACCATCTGCCCTGAGACAAGTATGAGGTCTCACATGGGCTCACTTACAAGTATTGAGCCTGATATCACTTGCAACAATCCCATAGTTTGCATGGAGGCCATGAATTCTTGAGTTTTACTAGAGGTGACTCTGACAGAATGGAGATTAAAATCACTCATCACCAGAAGACAAGGAGACTCCAAGCCCATCCTCAAGAGAGGAATCCTGTCAGGCGGCAATGCAGTCAGTATACCAGTGGCTTACCCAGCTTGTCTCTGCAGCCCAACATATAGGCATTCACACCTGACTATCTCTGGGATAGAATCCTTGGCCACAGGTAAGGTGTCATTAATACATAAATATTATAACATACCATTGCATTATGCTAGAATCTCACCTTGTCTCTTCATTAGAATTAGAATCAGGTCATCTGAAAACACCCACCCACATCCACACCCATATATATATATATATATGCATATATGTATGTCTATATATGTATATAGACATTTTTCTCATTATACAAAGGCAAATCAGAAAGTGCCATTTTACATATAAGGAACAAGGAGCAATAATCAGTTAAAGCTACTTGACAAAGAGACATGTGCTTGCAAAATATATTTGATACATACATTTGAAATGTAAATTTAGACAACTAAGGATGATGTAACTCATAAAGTCTCTTATACACATAGAAGTAATGATATGCACAGTGAGCTTTAGACTAGACCCAGCATTTAAAACCCACTGCCACTGAAGTGATTCAATTTGTCAAGGCATTCAATTTCAGTGTTAAAATACAGAAGTCTGCAGGAAAAAAACCAGAATGTTTATCCCTACTACAGTTATTTCCTTATATGTATCGTATATAATTTTGCAACACTTATTGCTACAGTTTTACTGTATCCAGTAAAGATATACATCACTGCATATCTTTTAGAATACTCAACATTGTTCATGATATAGTAAACACTGTAACCCAGGCAGAAGTGGTAAGTTAGCCATTAAAGATGGGAGATCATTTTCATGTGTCTTTGAAAGGATATCTGTCTGTGCATGTAAATGTATTCTCCATTAATATGCAGTATTCTATAAATACAGATTGAATGTATTCATTCTGTATTTTATAAAGGAACATTCTTTTCAGCAATGCCTCTACTTCCCTCAAATATACATCCATCAAAAGCTGTGAGGAGGTCTTTTCAGAGAGGCTGGAAAAATTAATACAGAACCTATTCTCTTTAGAGTTGACAGCAATGTGGCTTTCTTCTCAAGGTTTCGCCCCAAATACCAAACTTAAAGCCGAATGAGGAAAAGGAAATGTTTTGATAACCAAAAGAAAAGGTAAGCCAAGATCTTACTGAAGCAAGATCCACAACATTTTCTGTACCCTGTTAAATTAATTGAATTGTCAGCATTTTTGCATAGTATTTGATAATCAACTGAAAATTAAATGTAAATGGCCATATTAAATGTAATCAAATGTTATGAATATAGCAAAATAACTTTCTAAATTAAGAGAAAAAAACTCCCTGATATTCTTATTGAGGTAAATTATTGCCTAACAATGGAACAGACTTTTATTTTTTATAGTTAAGGTCCTAACGCTTTATTAATTTTGGCATAATGCACTATACCATATAGTATACTATACTATATAGTATAGTATACTATATGGTATAGTGCATTATGCCAAAATTAATATAGTATATACTATATACTATATAGTATAGTAACTATACTTGGATGGAACTTAAATGATTGAATTGTAACATTTAAATTGTAGTTAATTAAAATGTTTTCAGGCATTGAAAGATTATCATACCTACTATTTTTGCTCTCTTACTTTCTGTTTAAACCTCAAATGACTACAGGATTTTCCAGTGCAGAGAGGTCCATTTGAAAAAACTCTACACTCAAAGGATTAATTTCCTTGGGCCCTAGCTTTTCTAAACAGAAACGTTTCTTTTTCTATTCATATCTTGTTCAAAATAACACCACACAAAGTATAAAAGACTCCAAAAGCATGCAGACTACTGACCCGAAACACTGAAATACTGAAAAAAAAATACCTTCATTTTTGTCTGGCGATGATGAACCTATGGCACAGAACAACAACTCAGTATGTAGTGTTTCTTAAAAAATATTTTGACCATATCCTTTGGTCAATGAATGTACACTAGATATATGGTTCTTAAATGTTGTTAAGAGAGACAAGCAATACATACGTTGAGACTGAGATACAACTTTTGTTCGACTCCGGCCTCTGGAATCTGTCTTTGCATTTCCCATTCCGACAGAGGGTGTTGAAAGTTTGGTTCGCACGCGTCCTATAAAAGAAAGAAAAAAGAAAGAAATGAAATTCATATGTGTAGAAGTAATTTAGTGAACTGGGAGAGAAACAGTGCTATAGTGTAGTTGAAGTAATGAATCATCTTCATTACTTCTCAGCTCTTACCCTTAGCAAATTTTAGTTGCAATTACTTATGGGGTAACTGAAATAGCAATTTTCTTCTTTTTTCTTGCTTTTAATATCATACTGCATTTCCCACTGAAAGAATACAGCCAATATCTCTTAAAGATCTGAACATCTAATGTAAGAATCTATCATATTTTCAATGCAAATATGTGTGATGTTATTATATTGCTATATATAGGTATGGGATATTTTCTATTTTAAAATGGTGTATAAGTTACTGTTACATATGTGCTATACCAAAACTGAATTGTATACTGTCTCTCATACTCATGTTGGATATGGAGATGTATATATATACACATACACACATACATATCCTCATATTCTATTCTTTTAAAAAAAATTAAACATTCTGAAACTATTCAGAAGATTTCATTTTAATGAAGAATAGCAGGATAGATTAAAAGTAGTTTAAAGAGCCAACATTTTCTTTTTCAGTTCCCAAAACTGAATTGCTCAAGTGTTTTAAGACTTCCTAGTGTTAAGTTTGGTTAAATATCAAAATAAAAAAAAATCAAGAAAAGAAAGTACACCAAAGATTTTCATACACAGTCTAGTTAAACAGCTACCAAATCATTTAGGTCTCTTACAAAAATATGCTATTCACCTAGGCACAGAAGAAAATCTTCAGTCTTTGAGATGAGAGCCAGTATTAATTCATTAATTCTTGATGATATTATCAAACTAAGTTTCTTATACCCAATCCATTTGGTCTACAACCAACACAGTCACATCCATGCAATGACAGTATTTCTGCCATTCACTGTAATGTGTGTAAATGCACAGTTTGACCTGTAAACAGAAGGAATACAGAGTGCCACCATTTTGTTAAGATGTTAAATAACTAAAATTATCATTATTTTATTACTTCAATAAAAATAAATCCACTCTGCAAGTCTTTTAATTATTATTCAGAATGAACTTGGTAAAACAGTCAATTGACTGATTCACTATTGTCAAATGATCATATATTAGATAAACATTCAAATACTGTCATAATTTTAAAAATGCCACTGTATAACTTTTATTAAAGAAAAACAGATATGAAAGCAACTTGTCCTCTATCTCTGAAGAAGTAAGAGCCAGCCTTAGAAAAAGCACTGTTTTTCTACTGATAATCTGCCACAATTGTAGCATCTTAAAACAGGAATACATAGAGGTGAATAAGGGTGTTATTTGACAGTGATCATGGAACTGGTTCAAATCTCAAAGCTCATTAGGTGACAGAGTCATAGAAAAATTTTTAGCCCAAATTATGTAACAGGCTTGTGAGATTAACATGTGAAAGAATTATGTAAACTGTCCTAAGCAAATTAGGATAAAGCATAATTTTAAGTCAAATTAATTGATTTAGATTTTGTAAAATTTTTAACGTAATTTTTTTCAATCAATAAGTACTAACCAGCAAAATCATTTTATTTATAAAGAATTTTACTCTGCATTTCATTAAAAAGTAATCCAAAACTGGGTATCCCAAGTTAGACAGTATCAAACGTGTTTATCATTATTTTGTTGTTCTCATGTTAGTGCTTTAAAAATATTTTGTCATTTGACAATATTTGACATAAACCTGAGGCACTGAATGCTGACATCTAGTTAGATAACTTTGATGCCAAAATAAATTTCAAAGATTGAGTAAATAGTAGCACCTGTTTCCAAAAGCATGAGAATGTCTAGTATGTTAAAATTTCCACTAAAAAATTTCAATAGCAAAGCAAAAGTTTACACATTCAAAATATAATGGATATTGATACATTTTATTGCCAATCTGCACTTGAAAGAAAAAAAAGACATAAATACTGTAGCAACAAAGCATTATTAGCTAAGCAAACTAATAAACAAACCCTGAAGTTCACGTAATGGACTATATGCTCTGCATACAGTACAGCTTATGATGATGGAAATATTAAGATAAATGCATTTGCTCTTTTATTCTCTTACCATCTTCAGAAGCTGTTCCTAAATGGGAAAAAATATTAAAACAATGATATTCCAAACAAAAGCTCTTTTTGTATTTGATAAGCAATAATTGTATGGCTTCCAAAACGCATGTAAAAATATTTAAGTAAAAAACTATGTAAAAAGCATAGTCCATACTTCACTATGAAATGATTCCTTAGATCCTATCAACTTTCGTGTGACAATAAATTTGGTAATACACTTATTGATCTACTATGATGAAAACTACTTCATGCTACAGCTATACCACAGATCAGGGATAATGTATGAAAACTCAAGGGTACCATTAACTATTTTCACATGACAAAATCCAAATCTTTTTTCAAAACTAGGCCCATATTGTTGGGAAGAAATGGAAGCCTTGGACATCAAATATTGGACCATTCTTTCAAGATAAATTGTATGGTATTCATTCTCATTAAAAGTGACTACAAAGATAAGAAACAAAAGCTGTGTCTGTGATATCCCAATGAACCCAATGAATGCACTCTGTTATCAAAATCAAATGGCTGATAGTTCATTCTTGGAAATAGTGCAATTTGATAATAATGGATAAAATGGCTGAATCTCAAGTACAGGACAGATACTTTCTCCATGTAACACAAGACTGAATAAATGAATCTGGAATACAGCAGTTACAATATAATCATCCAGCAGTACCTTAAAAACCTACACATTTATTCTGGATAAAATTTTTATGAACTATATTTACTTTATTTTTTGTATTTTTTTTGTTTTTAACTTTGTAAGCCACCCAGAGTCATGTATGTGAGATGGGCAGCTACATAAATTCAATAAATAAATAAACACATCAGATATATTGTACATTATCTGAGACAAGAAGTGGCCGGTTACAATAAGTAGTTAAATATGACAGACATTCTTGTATTAGTAAGCTGATTAATACATGATATGATAAAATCCATTGTATCTGTTCAAGCCACAAGAGATGGAGATGATGCTCTTGATAAATTGACCCTCATTTGTTCCACAATGAAATTTGCTTTAATTTGTTGTTGTTGTTGAAGAACAGCCACATTACAATCATTGACTGGGGGAGGGGGGTGCAAAGAGACTGTAATGTACATTACATTTGTAATGTAAATTTTTGTCCATTTATTCTTCTGCAAAGAGACTGGCCTGTCTGTTGTGCAAAAAATTCAGTTGGGCACTTTTGGCAAAGACAATAAGAACTGCTCTGGAAGATACATTCCCTATTTTCCATATGACATTATTAGGTCTAGTAGGATGGCTAGAGTAGATATGGAGATTGAGTTGACATTTGGTCTGCCATAGGGTTTAGTCTGCTGTGGCTGGCAAACAGTTGTTTTAGGCTGGGGATAGGGAAACATCATTGTTCAGAGTAGTCTGTAGATCAAGGGTCAGCAAGGGGGTATACTGCAGACTTCCTAGAAGCATTTTTATTCTCCTCTCCATTTAGATTCCAAAATTTTTACTGGCCATAGGATATGTACATGCATATGCATGTTCAAATCAGTGCACATAATTGCATGACGGCTGCTAATATGTTTAAGCAGTTTTAGCTGAGAACTGTGAGAATTAATGCTTTTATCTGTTTTGTTGCATACCAGTGTAGTTCTATTTCTATATCAGTACACAATTATTTAATTTTATGCAAATTACTAATGAAATGGTATAATTTCTCTTCATAACCTGGATAATTGTGGGGCTATGTTGTGCTTTGGATTTGATTTGGACGAAGTACCTGGAATGTGCAGAATGCAGATCTTATCTGTGACTCATTCAAGCAGCCCCTTCATTTTCTGGGATCCCCCAATGATATACTGCTGTTTACATTTGGTATAAAAATGGCATTTGTTTGTATTTTGCCATGTTTTTATGTAATATGCTGTAGATAGATTTCCACAAGATAAGGCTCCTTCCCTTGTAATCAATCCAAGAATATCTGTGTCACATCTGTTTTATGAATTCCCACTGCTGGATAGATATTACCTGCATGTTTTGTATTTCATTTTTCTTTAACTTCACTGCTCACAATTTCAACCCACACCAATGGTGCAAAAGCTTTTATGACCTTGAATACTGTAAAGAGAACCTTTAGTTCAATTCTGAACCAATGGGATTTTCCCCCTGTCTCTTTGCCAGAAATTTCCTCATAATCGGTTCATTCCTCTGAGGAAAAATCAGGGACTATTTAGTCCCACCTAGATGGATGTCATCCAGGTGTACTCATAATAGTCCTCCCAGAACTAATATTCACCAGTTTCCCCCCGCTTTTAGCTTATTTTTTCTGTATAATTTTCATTAGCTACAATGTAATAGATAATATCTTTTTTATCTTCTGATAACCGTAAGGTTGGGCAGTAATAGGGATGTAGTGCCCCAGTCTAATTTCCTCTCTTATTGCAATTAATTCATCTTGCCGATCCTTCATCTTTCAAAAAGTTGCCTCAGGCCAACCATACATACTCCATTACGCCTTGAGAAGCATCCACACAACGCATCCTTGATAGCTTTCCAGCCTGCAGAAAGCTCCCAGACTTCTTAAGCAGCTTAAAAACTTGGGTTTCTCCTTCACAAGACATTTACAGTATATACCCCACAGAATTCTTCAAATAACTGCTTTGTTTCTTTTAAGCTGTAATGCCATCCATTGTACCATCCTTATTTTGCCAATTAGAGGAAACTATTGTGAACTACTTATTCTTACTAGACTAGTATTGCTGTATTCCAGAATCTTGGTTACGTAGGGGTGGTCCAGCCCATTTTACTATAAACATTTTCAGTCCATAATTTCTTCTAATATCTAGTCTCAGATCCTACCAAATACACCAGATTTGTCACATTGCAGGATGGAAAGAATCTCCAATTTTCTTTTTAATATAGCTCACTTTCTGAACTAAAATATGT